ACATTTTACTGCTTTTTGAAGGATCGCGGTCGTGCTAGTTAAAAACATCCAAGTAGTTGTGCGGCTAGACGTCTAGGACGTGAGGGGTATGGAACCTATGGAGGTTACTGCCACAGGAAGCCCAAAGAGATAAAACACGACAAGAATTCTCCATAAGCAGTATCAGTATAACATGTATGTTAATTATATCAATTCTATCAATAAAATCTGCAAATGTTTATTGAAATGTTTATTTATCTAGCGATCATATATTGTCCATATTTGAAGTATTACCATTTCATGCAGAGATGTTCGTAGTATTTGCTCACAAGACGAATCAAATGTTTGTCTTGGGTAAAACACGTGACCACCGATCCYTTTCCAGTGATTAGAAGCTGGTTGTGTTTCCCTTTCCCGCCACATCCCACGGGAAATCGTAGCTTTCCCATGTAATATCCAGGATTTTGATCAGACTTTGTAAATAGTTCGTGTTTTTGTTGAAGGAGTTTTTCCCCTACAAAGTCGATTTGCTTGTAATGTGTTTTGGGGATCAAGACTGAGGAGTTGATGTACCCAGTTATTGCTAGGAAATAATAAACATTGAAATTAAAACAAATCACAACACGGAAAAATAATAATGACAATAAAAATGAATGAAAAGCGAGTGTTTTCCTACCAAAATCACTTTTGCAGATTAAATGAAATAATCTGTCATATCTGCACGGTTTGCATGCTGAAACATAAAGCACGCACATTATTAGTATGTATCATAATATAGCCGATGATTGACAGCAATGGTGGTGTGATGGTGTACCTGACTGCGATTATTATAGGCTATCTACCTTAGGATGTATTACCCTGCGAGCAAGGGGTATATCGCTTGTCATCCCCTTGGAGTATATATCTAGATATCGTTTTAATATACCTTTATTTCTGTGTAAGAATTTCTTCTTGAGTGGTTTGATAGTGTAGTCAAGTGTCATTTTATTCTGGTGTAGTTTAGTTGCCTCGATGTACAAGACAATGTGTTTCTTTGAAGAGTGCAAGCAGTAATGACTTTTCGCCTTGGAATCATGTCCCTCTTTCAACAACGTCATGCTATTCACTCCCTCGCGAAAKATCGTCACTTCTGGGTTTTTACATTTGAAACATAGCTTGAAMCCTCCTTTGATGTGAGCACCGGGATGAAACGAAGCTCTCAAACCACCGTAAGGGTGATGCCAGATTAATTTACCCTTGTTACATTCTGCTTTTGCGTTCAGTACTGACGGAGGTTGGTCGCCAGTGTAACTTCTGTTCAAACAAAAAATAAAAGTGAGTCAGGACACGTTGAAAGACTAAAGCGATCTAATTAAACACAAGATTACAATTGGGCCTGGACCGTTATTGTTTGTTCAAAATACAAGTTGTCACGTCTGTTGACGTCCGTCACATATGGTTGTATTCCAAGATAGATATCCTTGATTTATCCACGGTACAAATTTATCATAACAAAAGTTATATAACAAAAGTAAAATATCGAAATAAAAAGCTGCTTTCCACGAATACCGTCCCTTAGAATAGTTCATTTAACAAGCGCGTAAACTGCCCTAGGGACTGTGCCTGCCTTATTTCACTTAGAAGGCTGTTCCATGCAACATCTCCACTATTTAACTGTAGCGATGTACAAAGAATGATCCTGTTTTGTGCTCCTGCASTAACAGTACTGATTTTGCCTATTCAAAATCTTCGTAGAGTCCGCGTCGAAACRCAAACTAATCGCTAGTGTAAGWATAAAAAAACACTCGCTCCTATGTGCCGTACTTTTGTCGGAGTACATCAAGAAACAGAATTMTTGATAATACGTAAAAGACCAACAGCTACTGTAAATTAAATCAGTTTATTAGTTGATAGTACTTGGTGACTGATTAGATCGAGAACACTCGATGAGTATATCAAAAATCACTTGACAATTAGTTATAACGTTGCTGTTCAGAACCAATTTTCGACTCTCATGATCAAAACACTGTATATCAGTTTTTATCATTTCACAATTTATATACGATTGCAGCTATAGAAACATRTAAATGTAGGCTTAAAAAGACATCGTTCCGTGAGGCATTAAAGGCGGGAACATGCTCTTTTCTCTTTTCAAATAACACCCCAACTCAACAGAATTGCGTCTCGGTATTAAGAGACATCATTCAAACAGTAAATGAAATGGAGCATTTTTTAAGCAACAATCCTCGAGCCCAAACCATTAGGTTGAAAATTTATCGAAACATTGTTCTTTTGTAATGTTGAATATAATCTTTTASGGACTAACCGTCGTTAAGACAAAACACTAAACAGTTCGACATGACCACATTTCAATACATTTATCATAGTGAATGCATATAGTTTAAGTGAAAAAAAGATGTTTAAACTTTGTGATATGAATCGGGAAGACTAAGGAAATCATGCTAATTTTGAGTAGAATTTAGAGTCCAAACATGCCAAAACAGGTAAAAAGTTAACCTGCTATCGGTACAAAACAAACCACGTGTTCTAACACGAGGCGAATAACTGACAGCAAACAACGAATGACGTTTAAGTTTAAGCTTTAATTATATAAGAAAGAGGCGGGAAACTCAAATCGAAAAAATCTGGTAGCTTTTWAGAAAACGTTTTGGCGCCTTTTTTGAGTTTGATTGACATGACAGCCGCGCGAGACGTGCTCAGGAAATAATGCAACAAAGAAAAGATAATCTGTTACGAGAAATTCATTGACGGTAATGACTTTTCACTATAAAAGCACTAACGAAGGCTAGCCTTGTTTTTCTAGGTTTTCGGACTAATATTAACTTTTGGAAATTCAATTTTCTATCAAAACATGTGAACGAGTTTAAAAACAAACCAGAAGCTTTGCAGTGCTTTCGYTCTCCTGTGAATGACGATGGGCAATCAAGTGAGGAAACATTAATTATTTGGTCATTTTCGAGCTGTCAAAAAGTATTTAAAATAATGCCACATGAAATTAGTCATAAACTTATGGCAGCTTTGAGAGCAAGCTTTCGTATAACTTCTTCTCTCACTGATAGCAAGTCTCGGAATGTTTTGTATTCAGTATTTTCTACGTTCGTGCGTTCGTGACAGTCAAGGAGATCTTGACAATGGATGGCGTCCATACTATTTTGTCAAAGTTAATGGCTTATAAAAGTTGTCATGAATGAATCGAAAATTCTTCTTAAGACGGAAATATAGATTATGTAAAGAAATTTGAAGAACTTTGTTTGCCAATTTTTCAATCTCTAGTCTACAATGTTTTGAAAGCAGTAATTTTTAAAAGCTTTTTTCAAATAGTTATAACTTTTTTGAAAGGGTTTTTGTCGKCTGTTAAAATCTGTTTAAATCGATCAAACATTAAAAAACATCAATATGACTCTTCAAAAATTGATATKAAATTTACATTTATAGAAAACAAAGAGTGGTGTAGAGTTGTAGTGCTGTTCTAGTTCAAAAGAACATCTATATTTCTATATTACTCTACACGTTGTGCTCTTCAAAAGGCATTTCAATACGGTCTTGTTTAGTTATTGTGGTAGCCAAAAACAATACTTTGAAGTTAGACAAAGGGTTCCACACGTGCCCCGAGGGAGACCCATTGACAACAACTGGAACACGTGTGTTGTATAGATGTTGTCAGGTGTACTCGCTCAACTGTCGTTACCTATAAGCATTCTTGAACATTTTCTACTAATGCTGATTTATCTCTAAAGGAATTATCGTGTACTGTTTGAGATCTGCTAGATAGCTCAGTGGWAACAATTAAAATATCACCTCACAAACAATTCATCGAGATCGTCCAAAGATAGTGTATAATTTTTGTACATTGAAACGTTGATCATCTCGAATGAAACCTTGTAGCAAGAATGGGACAAAAAGAACTTTGGCTTGGGAAACGTCTCAACGTCTCAACGTTCAACGCTCATCACAATGTCTCATTGTCAGTCTTACTAAAGCCTCTGACGAAGAATTCAAAATCTGCTTTTCTAAAAAACATTAGCCATACCTGTCTTCCCAAATACACTCATCTTCAACTTCGTTGTCTGAGTCATTGGATAGAATGCCATTAATAAAGAATCCCAATGTAATAGTTAGAGCAGCAATGCGATGGGATTTCATGTTGAATAGCGTTTGCAATCTTCTTTCTATGACTGGAAATCACAACTGACTGTGTTGATGGTTGGCACGAGGCACAAGAGCGGTTTCCACCAATCACCAGCTTATACTTCAATCCCTTGAGAGAATAATAACATTTGTTTAAATAACAAAAAAGACTCGAAGCGCAAATGCTTTGATGGACGGTTCGGGGGTCTAGAGACTGTTTAGCATACGAATGGACCCACTATTGACTGAAGGACTTCAACTTTTCTTGCTAAATTTGGTCGAGAATAAGTTATGCATGAATGGATGGCAGTAATTTTTATTCTTCTTGATTTACGGTGCACCAAAACATAGTATTATTTATGCCAGAGCATACGTAGTTTGCGTGAGAAGATTCAAGGTTGACTGTAAACAGACTGTAAGCGGTGCACATTGTATTACAAGTTTAGTATATGAACTCTTACGACAAACAAGAATCTCAGAGTGACAAATTGTCTCAGCAAGCTTACCTCAGGAAGAATCTGCTGTATTATTAGCTAAACCTGCAAGAAAGACGATCCTGACATAAATTGAAGCCTTGAGCACAGCTTTGTTAGCTTATCATAATTTATTCATGTCAGATTTGCGTCCTATTAAATATTTACTGGTGCTCTATTCGTCAATCGASTTGGTTGCTGAGCAAACTGCTGYGGCTTTACAAGAATGAATAAAATACGAGCAGAAAGTTAATAAAAACAACAAAACAGTGTTTCTAATGCCGAATTATCTTTACTGAATCGTTAATAAACATGCGATGAGTTAAAACATTCATTACTTATTTAAATGAATTTAGCAATTCTGAAGTTAACAAAAACAACCTGTTTTTCTCAATTTGTTCGCAACGTCAAATTACAAGATTCGTTATCCCATTTCTCCCCTGATATTTTCAAGCTGAAATTGCGTAATTTAAATTCTTGTTTGTATTTTTACTACAGGTTAGAAACAATATATTGATAAGAAATAAATTATAATTAGGACTTGAGAAAGAGAAATATCTAATATATATTTAAACAATCGTTTCATACTAATTGCTTCCTCCACTGGAAATACTAAATGAAATTGTTTATTAATTGCGAATCTCACACTTTGACTATGAATTACACATCACAAATAGGTTGGTATGCTTTACAGCATTTATCTAGAACTATCTTGACCGCCAGGATAGAGGATAGCAGAGTGTAGTTTATTGATCAAATACGATCATGACAAATCCATGACAGATAATAATCAAATAAATATAATCAAAGAGATCAAATAAACAGAAAAACTCAAAGAAAAAAAAATTGAGAGTTCGGCTCGCTTACTGCCCAGATTTGTCAATAGCGGTCACRTGACAAGATGGCGTCGCTGCGCCGAGCTTTCTCGGCATGACGGACGATATTCACTGTTATGCTGTAAAACAAGCTTGCAAAATAGCCCAATATTATCCATTAATAATCGATAACAAAAGAAACTTATTCAGTCTTGGAATGTATTTTCACCTTTTTAAATCGAATATAGTTCAAAKAGCACAAAAGCTGCTAGGGAAAGTTTTCACCTTCAAGAACAGTAAGMAATAAAATCTCTTTGAATTACAAAAACATCATCTGTTCAGACCTCTTTCCCAATTTCTGCATTTATTTTTTGTCCATCCGTCAGGCTGGAAAATGTTTGCCAGTATTTAAGAAAATTTTTGCCGCCTTATGCATTTATTYCTTTWTCTTTCTTCTTTTTATTACAATTTGTCCACACGCAGTCATTTGTGTTTCGATATTTGAACGGATTTAGTCATGCGCAAAGTGACATCAACTTTTTTATCCCACAACTATGCATAGTTTCCACTCCTGGAAAAGATATCTAAGTACTCTGAAATGGATTTTTTGTGATTTGAAGGTACTACACAAGCTATATAGCCTCGGTCTGCCTGATCACCTCGTGAATTATTAATGACTACTTGAATATCGATGATTTCGCTCAAGCATAGTGTTAAACATGCACACAAACTTCAAGTAAAAAGTCTCAACTTGCTCTTCAATGTGGGATTGAAATACATGTATTCTTGACGTGCATTTACGCCATCTCAATCAATTGCAGCTATTCTACTGATAAGAAAAGTTTCATGGCCCTCAAGATCTCTGTTAACTATGTATTCGAGCCAAATTTCAATTGGAGGTTCCAATTGTAGGTAAAAGACCCTATAATTGTATGGAACTATGAATATGAAATGCAAGAATGTATGCCGTCGCCATATTGGATGACAACAGGTATTATTCAACATAAGGACCAAAACGTTGAAGCATTGAAACGTAGGAACCAATAAYTTGACAATAAGCTCATGTAGAATATCAATTTTAAGCAGGTTTAATACACTAAATCAGCCGTGGTACGAATTATGCAATGTTTGATTTTCCACGTCAAAGGTGTACACGTGACTGAATTGCTTGACAAAATATCGACCTTTGAAACTCAGCAACCAAACTGAATCTTGAAGMAACTAGCTAGACTCGTAAAGAAACTTTACAATTGTTGTTGTGTTTCTTGGCAATGTCGTGAATTATTCGTTCCTTTTTTGTTTGTTTGTTTGTCTGTTTTTAATAGCATAACATGCTCAAGGGGAATTCAGTTTCAGTAGTTATTGTATACTTATTAAAACGGTAGTCTCTAGTACAGTGGAGGTATTAGGATTGCAATTCCAGCAATTCATTCCACTTGTAGTCCTTCCGTTGCACAGACTATTTCTTCTCAATAACATAGCATTTTAAACTGTGGACGTCACTATGTCAGTTTTTACACAATAAAGATGTCCTCAATTATTCATTGAATGAATGGATCATTTGAGCGCGATTTTATGCCATCGTAGCAACGGTATCTACGGTATCGGGTACACACTGCTTGTTTGCATACATACAGCCAACACTTGAACTACATTGACGAACGGCGTGAAATAATGTACTTATTTTGCTGCACACACCATAGTTCCCTGTAATTTTCTGTACATATTTACACCCTTTATACATTAGATAAACAAATTTACACTGCAGACAATATATCAAGCTGTTATATAATTATACCCAAATTACATGTACACTAGTTACCTTGGATATGAATACACAAACAGGCTCTGGACTCAAACATCAACTGATCCACCAAAAAACTGAGTTTGCTCGAAAAACGATGTGATCCATCAAGATATTTGTTTAATTACTCACAGAAGCTTGAGATTCTAGTCATTGTTAGGCTTTTGTTTTTGTTTTTCTGGTTGAGTAACGGGTTTGTTTGGAGAGGCATTCAGTCACTACTGCCGCCTAAACTGAATACATGATTATAATACATTCCACAGGTCTATCAATAACAATGCGCATGTTTCTAGGTTAATCTAGAATCTATGGGTTTAAGATTTACGTATTAGAATTAATTTACATGTGTTCGTGATCTAAACCTGCATGTTCAGAAAAAAAAACGTTACAACTACCCGGGGAACCATGGGACACCGCAGTGTATTCGACTAYAGACAATTATAACTAGTTATCACCTTATTATGCTTTGATATCGTTAATTTAATCWCAAAACGATAATCGTCTTACCGCAAGGCATCATGGGATATGTAAAGGTTCAATATATAAATGTTTGTTTACCTTGCGATCAGGCACCTACGAGAAAAGGGTGACCTGATCCTATGCAAAGATTTTCGCCCCTAGCAAAAGGGATTCAGAATCCAGTCCCTAGGATCCGAAATCCAGCGTAGTTCTGCGACTGATAAGGCGATCATTCGTATCGTTGGTTTGTGGACATTTTTTACGTGGAACTTTCCTACGTAGAAGGTCTTGATTTCATTGTTTGTGATTAAAACATTTAAAAGGAAATTGCACTAAATATATTGAGATCTGACCAACGATATGCTGTGATGCACTGCCAATACAGTTACTATAGTAACTCGATTCCAGCCTTCCAATGATGTCAACGAATTTTCTAAGCATGCTGGTAATGGTGAAGATATTCCAGGCAGTTACCAAAGTTGTTGCCACAGTTACTAGTGACGTCAGCGCTACGATGCTGGAAGATACTGTGACAGATTTGATAGAAGCAAACATTAACTATGATGGATTATTTCTGGTCTTTTGAACAGCTCATTTGATGTCGTCGTTATTGCATTGCAGGGGCGTATCCAGGGGGTTGTGGAGGGGGGAGGGGGGATCACAGGGTGCGCGTGAGTCCCCCCTTTCAAAGCCAAATAAGCGTGACAAGTAAGCCGTTTTCTCGAGTGGCCATAACTTTTTATTAACAATAAATGCATATATTGCTAGACGAACTGGGCAAATGCAAATTTCTATCATCAGATTTTATACAAAAGTAACTGACACATTTCAGTAAAAGWCTATCCTCTATAGTCGAAAGTCGCGTCTTTTTAGTAATTTTCGAAGCTGTGTTGGTATTCCTCTCCTCTTTCTCTCTRTTGAGAAAAATAGATCAATAACCGGTTTTAGTCAAAGGCATTAACATAGCAGAGTAATTGTTAGTTACGAAACTATCAAATTCGAGTCCGTGTCTCTATTTTATTAGTTGCACACTTTACACTTGCGATTTCTGMAGCGCGTTTGTAGCGCGATCTTCGCCTGAATTTCGAACATGAAAATTGGCTGCAACTTCACGGCACGGCGATTTTCGATCGCCGCAACATTCGCAGGGCTGTTTAAAGCCGCGGCTACATGTGCGATTTTTCGCGTTCGCAGGCGACGCGATTTTCGGGTGCGCGATAGCAAAATRGCGATTATGGAGCTGCAAAAATCGCAAATGTAAACGGACCTTTAAAACGCATAAATATATATATCTATGATGAAAAATTTACTGTTTAAAAAATTGATTTTGTGAGCATGGATTTACAATTTGTAACTAAAAACTTACTGCGCATAATCACGTTGATGATCCACCATATCCACAGGCAAATCAAACTGACGATTGAAGTGAGTTCCCAGTTGTAAATAACGAYGTACCAAGCCATGTGCTTAACACTGTTGATCCAATAACCAATGGTGTAGTTGAACGACATGTCTGTCCAGCTGTAGYASACWAGGGTACTTATAGGATCAAGWAGAAGCAGTGTGATCAYGGAGTAAGCGGCATGTAGTATGGTATTGACGGCATACAATATATAATATACATAGCTGGACTGACGCTCGTCGTTCTGGACAAACAGAGGGAATAACAAATAGTTGTAACTCCTGGAAATGACTGGCCAACACCAGCTATGAACAACCATCACCAWATTTAAAGACTGCGTAAGAAGTTCGATTATTGAGATGTAAACTGGTCGGACAATCCACTCRACCATTGAGTTGTAAACCGGCCGGACAATCMACTCGACCATTGAGTTGTAAACCGGCCGGACAATCAACTCGACTGTTGTGTTGCAASTCGCGTCAACCAAACAMGACAAYGCACTCCATGCACTTTCAGCTGTCAAYGATACGATTCTGCCAAGTATCCTTACAGGGAGGTAAGCAATTCTACCCATCATMCCTCYAAACTCTTTCACTTCCTCTGTGTATTCAGCTACTACGGGAACCTCTAGAGAGTCGACCAGCACCCAAAACACTGCTGTGATCACTTCTTCCTTGGCGGTGAGTTCTTGTGGAAGTAAGAATTTGTAGCTTGTAACAGCGAGGGTCAAGCAGAMGATGCGTTGTTGAGGAATCATAGTCAGTGCAGAAACTGTCTTGACGGTTAATTYAACTGGACGCAAAATATGGTCGTGGATGAATCCCCTGACTGATGATGTCTGAATCGGTAAAGAAGAGGTTTTCTGAGCTGTGCTGTTCTGTTTATGGATGACTTCATTGCTTGTCGACCAAGATGCATGAACTGTGTACCCAGGCTCAATACCTAATCAATGAAATGACAATTGTTATATGTGTCTTCTGAAATATTTTACATCTTATTCAGGCCTAATAAGTGTTACCTTCATTTTGGTAGATAAGATTGTCCTGAGCAAAGAAAGGTCGTGACAAGTCAATCAAATAGTTGATGACCTGCATTACCCTGTCGGCAGTCCATGATGTCAGCATGTCAGCTACTCTACGAAGACTAGACCAAGGGAAACTATCAGTTACGGCTGACACGATTCCACCAAGTATCCTGACAGGCAGGAAAGCAATTCTACCCATCATGTCTCCAAACTCTTTTATTTCTCCAGTGTAATCAGCTACTACAGGAACCTCTAGAGAGTCGACCAGCACCCAAAACACTGCTGTAATCGCTTTTTCCTTGGTTGTCGGCAGTTCTTGTGGAAGCAAGAATTTGTAGCTTGAAACAGCAAGGGTCAAACARACGACTCGTTGTTGAGGAATCAAAGTCAATGCAGAAACTGTCTTGACGGTCAAATCAACAGGGCGCAAGATGTAGTTACTCAGAAAATAGCTGCCAYTCATTGGTACTTGATCACTTGTTTTAGTAGAGTTTTCTGTTGAAGTCAGTATTCGTATTTGTGTTATTTTAAGCAATAAACGATAGCTTGAAGCGGTTTACTGGCGAAATAAACCGCGCGGGAWGGTTGGGAGAACACGAGAAAAGGTCTGTAAATCACGAGCCGTTAGGCGAGTGATCTACCTTTTCGACTTTTTCGACCTTTTTAAGACAAAACCATAGCCTTTTATCATGGAATTGGCCAATCAGCGCGCGTGTTAGAATTGAGCTATAATATAAATGATATTAAAAGCTCACTCAGTATCAATAAACGCATTTTACAATTTCTGTATTTGTACACCGATGGCGCGCGGCGCGTCAATGAATTTTCTGAAGTGCGCGCTGAGCTTGATGAGCCCGCAAAGACGCCGCGATCTTGCAACAACATCACAATTGATGTTGTTATAGCAACCACAAAAAAATCTTACTTGCAAAAAAAATAAAGAAAAAAAAAAAACAAACATAACAAAATGAATGCCATTCGTTGACAATGCTTCTTTTTTCTAAACCGGTGATTCAGTCCCGATTCCATGGAAATTCTCCGAATTTTTCACATACAGCTTGCTTTTAGCATCAAATAAGAATTTAAAAAATTTGACAAACGCCGTTCATTGCGGCTAAATGTGTTCTTTTCCGAGTATAGTGTTGTCATTTTGCATTTCTAATAATATTTATCATATCAGCATGTTTTGCCTGTGTCCTTGCGGTTTTCGTGCGGAAGGTGTGGTACAAATACTGACGGTCGTCTAAACAAACATTTACCTTGTGGTTTTATTTGAAGATTGTCATCTGAAGCAGGAATATTGACAAGAATTATCATCGCGACGATAAAACTAACTRTAAATACTTTTCTAGCTGACATTTTAGTCAATTTTTAAAGAGCTTCAAAGAAACCCTTCGTGCTGTACTACGAGACGAAATACAACTGATGACATCAAACTAATTGATTATGACGTCACTTGCTCGATAATGGCGGGCGCAAAGACTTGTGGTTCAGATCACAGGCAGCCCAAGCAAKAAATTTGATCTGAAAGGTCAGATTTGTATATGGAAGTACTCGAGGCAACGTGGAAAAGTATAAAAAAAAAGAAAGAAAAAAGTGTAGAAATTCCATGAAATTAAATTGCGCAAAGAAGYGAGACGGTAGTCAATTCCATATTGACTATTTGATAATGCAGTTGAAAGCCCAGCAAAGTAGTTGTGAGAGTGGCCATTTTGGTAAGTATGCAAAAATGCAGATGCTTTGAAAATCGCCAGTTTTCCGGTCCCTGAGAATAGATTTCTGAAATTACATGTGCAATTTCTCACTTTGTGATTTTTGAAAACCAAAAATGGATTGGCCGCGAAATGTCCTGATTTTGTTGACATACAACAAAGCCGCTCAAGTCGTAAACTTTATATATATTTTATTGTATCATCCAGTAACCGATTATATATTGACATCATCGTAGTGTCTCATGCACCATTTCAGTATCTCATTATATAATTGTTGTACCTGGCTATATCACTGTACAATGCAGGCATAGGCGTCCATCATTATGGGTAGAACCACAAATACCACATCACACTCTACCGATGCTGTGAATTCCTTTAATGACCCTCCAGTATCGTTGATTATAAGGCAACAAGAGTGCTTTGTCTTAATTATATTATCAGGACCAAACGATACCACCAAGTAACCAAATCCATGATTAAGATTAATGCCAGATTAACTTCTTAATTATCTTATCTTATGATTATCTTTTTTGAAATATTTAAATGAAAACGTTTGTCAAGYCACCACCGTTGAGGTTAAATCAAGTACCATTTGACGAGAGATTCATCGTATTAGGAAATTCCCAAAATGCTTATCGGTCTCACACTACCATTTCCACATGATGAGTTGCAATAGATCCCGGGCAATAGGTCCCGGTCAATAGGTCCCAGGCAATAGGTCCCGGGCAATAGATCCCGGGCAATAGGTCCCGTGCAATAGGTCCCGTGCAATAGGTCCCGGGCAATAGTTCCCGTGCAATAGGTCCCAGGCAATAGATCCCGGGCAATAGGTCCCGGGCAATAGTTCCCGGGCAATAGGTCCCAGGCAATAGATCCCAGGCAATAGGTCCCGGGCAATAGTTCCCGGGCAATAGATCCCAGGCAATAGGTCCCGGGCAATAGGTCCCGGGCAATAGGTCCCAGGCAATAGTCCCGGGCAATAGGTCCCGGGCAATAGGTCAATGTCACACATCATTCCACTTAACTTTGGTTCATACAAACAATGGCGTTTCAATTAGGCTGAATAATTGATTTTCTCTTATTTACGTCATGTCTTGTTGTCTGCCTGTGATATGTTTTTCACTAGAAATGGTTCGTGTAATATATTCTGTAATCTTGAAGCCTGTGAATTGGATATACATGTATATTTTGTTATTCATCTTCATGACTGACTACAGGCCAATTTTATTAAGCAAAAAAATACTGTGGACAGTACAATTACTGACGATGAACAAGCCAATCAGATCGCTCGCTTTGTAATATGACTTCCGGAAGGTATCTCTGACGCTGGTATATATTTTTATGACGTCACATTGATGTCATGTGACTTCATTCAGAGAATTTTGTATGTAAGGAACCCCTAATAACAATTTTTGGATATGGCCTTGAAGTGTCACTCGCCAGCGCTGTGATGGAGGCTCTAGGGCAGTGTAGGTTAAAGAATGACCCAGTCTGCACCCCTCCCCTACAGCCGCCAAGCAGACTATGTCCTTACTCTCTCTGGATTGTCAACATTAAGGATGAAAGGGCACAATTTTGCAAGCAAACTATTTAACTAGAGCACRTTTCTTGTGTTATAAGTATTTGTTGATTGTCAGACAAATTTCTTGAATGTTGTACAAAACGGTTACCTTCACTTCTCCAAATCCCGGTAAAAATGTCAAGTCGTCTTGTGATGCTGATGTGATTCCAGCTAACGTCTGATGAAAAATAGACATGAATAACTTTATAAAAATTAATTGATCCATTAGTTTTAACTAATTAAAATAGATTAACATCAGTGGTGTTGCATTAATCCATCCACCAAAAAAAACTATCAGTCCATCCACCAATCAAACTGTCAATCAATCAATTCATCCACCAATCAAATTATCAATCCATCAACCAATCAAACTATCAATCCATCAAACAATCAAACTGTCAATCAATCAATCAATCAAACTGTCAATCAATCAATCCATCCACCAATCAAKCTGTCAATCAATCAATCCATCCACCAATCAATCTGTCAATCAATCAATCCATCCACCAATCAATCTGTCAATCAATCAATCCATCCAATCAAACTATCAATCCATCAAACAATCAAACTGTCAATCAATCAATCCATCCACCAATCAAACTATCAAGTAGCATCAACATGATGATGGCACAAAGAATCTAAGATAATCTATCATGTTATTACAATAGACACCTACTCCAAATGTTGAACTCAGTGTTAACACATCAGTTTTGTTGATACCTTTGACTGTGGTCAGACAATCTTGAAGCTGATAAAAAAAAATAGTAAAAAAGTTGAATAAAAAAATAGTAAAAAAGTTGAATAAACAAATAAAAAACATGATTTACACACCATTGCCCATTCTGAGGTTTTAAACACTTGAAACTCTGTAATTATTAATCCGATTACTCTCAAACTGAGCAGCTTTACTAATTTTAGTTTTGCTCTTTCTTGTCCTGGTGTCTGTTTTTTCATTGCTTCAAACGGTATCGAGTTTGTGACTAGTCACCAGTCCCTTTTTGAATTTTGGAAAGGACAATACAAAACCAATTTTCATGGATTTAAAATGTTCTGAATGTTTTTAGAAAGTTTTGAAATCTCCCAAGATCCCCYTCCCCATTCCCCTTACTGCCCTATTGTTTGACCTCCTACATTAACGCTGATCGCTGGGATACCTGTGGTATAGCCATGGAACGCCTTGCAGTAAATAACTTATCATTATAGTTGCAACGGACGAATATTTCATGTCTTCTGCAATCTTTCATTATCTTATCGCTGATATTAGGATCATAGAAGCATGGAATTCTCAGACTGGCAAACTCAACTGTCTACTGTCAAAGAACGTACTCAGTACGCGTTCAAAAATTCCTTGTTCTGCGATGTCGAGTTCGCCGTGGTAGATTCGGTTAATGGCGGGAAAGTCACCATTCCAGCCAACAAGTACATGCTAGCYGTTAGTAGCCCGGTCTTTGAAGCCATGTTTTACGGTAATTTGAAAGAAAATAACGATACTATCGACCTACAAGACTGCACCAAGGAAGGACTACAAGAATTGCTTCGTTTTGTACATTCTGATGATGTGAATTTGACAGGAAATAACGTGATGGAAGTACTTTACATTGCAAACAAGTACATCATGCCATTTCTTGTCAAGAAATGTAGAGATTATATACAAGAATGCCTGAAACCCCAAGAAGTGTTTGCTGTTCTTCCTCAACTACAACAACTGAGCGAGGAAGAGCTTGAAGAACATTGCTGGAAAGTTATTGACAACAAAACCCAGCTCGCAATATCATCGAAACCATTCCTAGGAATATCTCGAGAAATGCTTTATCAACTCTTAACTCGAGACTCTTTAAAGATCAAGGAATTGGAAATCTTTCAAGCTGTAGATAGATGGGCAGCAAAGAAGACGGAAGAAAAAGGTTTAGAGAG